CCCCCCCTCCCCCCCTCCCAAGTAACATCCGTCAACTCGAAACCGAAGCCGTCAATCCCAAACCGCAAAAACATCTGTATTCGGCGGGGTCGGTAATCGCGCCGTAAGCAACAACAACCAATAACAACCAACAACAACCAACAACAACCAACAACAACCAACAGCAACCAACGATAACCAACAACAACAACCAACAACAACCAACAGCAACCAAAAACAACCAACAACAGCCAACAGCAACCAACAGCAACCGACGACCACCGACGACCACCGACGACCACCGACGACCACCGACGACCACCGACGACCACCGACGACCACCGACGACCACCGACGACGACGACGACGACGACGACGACGACGACGACGACGACGACGACGACGACGACGACGACAGCGACGACGACAGCGACGACGACAGCCACGACGACAGCCACGACGACAGCCACGACGACAGCCACGACGACAGGCACGACGACAGCCACGACGACAGCCACGACGACAGCCACGACGACAGCCACGACGACAGCCACGACGACAGCCACGACGACAGACGACGGCGACGACGAAGACGACGACGACGACAAAAAGTCAAACCCAAATAAAACAAAACCTCAAACTTTTCAACATGACTTCAAGCTACAGACAAGGACAAAACAAGCACACGATAGCACGCGGACATGACCACAGAAAAAAGAAGGGGGGTCGGCGCAGGAGCCGAAGTCCCACCCCCCCAACCCAAATCAAGGCCTCAACCCTTAATTTAGGGTCCAAATCCTTAATTTTAGAATGCCCTGGAATCCGGGGGGAAGGGTTTCCCTACGAATAATAATGCCCAGACATGATCGATATCTTCAGATCCCTGCTAGGGATGCCCTTCTGAGGTTGTTCTGGTGGGGATGCCCTGGCGGGGCTGCCCCGGTGGGGATGCCCTGCTGGGGACACCCTGGTGGGGCCCAAATCCTGATTTTAGGGTCCAAACGAACCCAAATGGGGGGATCGGCCCGAAATTGCTCGATTTCGTAAAGAATTCGTATAGAAGAAACGACCCCTGCATTTTTCAGATTTGAGCCTGGTGGGGCTGCCCTGGTGGGGACGCCCTGGTGGGGATGCCTTGGTGGAGCCCAAATGGAAGGTGCGGGAGCCGGTCTTCAGTTTAGAGTTTAGGGTTTAGGGTTTAGGGTTTTAGGGTTTAGGCGCCGCTACCACACACCTGCTGCACGGGTTCGGTTTGGACGCCTCGACATTACCACTCAATCCGGGAGTACGAAAAGTGGCCAACGATCCATCCACTTTGTGTGTGAGTGAGTAGCATGTCTTGGCACAACGCGCGGCGTGTGGCGGTGATACTTCGCAAGTGCTTGTGACATGGTTTTTTTGTCTTGGCACAACGCGTTGTGCGTGGTGGTCATTCTTCGCAGGTGCTTGTGGCAAGGTTTTTGTCTTGGCAAAACGCATGGTGGTGATACTTCGCAGGTGCTTGTGGTAAGGTTTGTGTCTTGGCACAACGCATGGCGCGTGGCGGTGGTATATCGCAGGTGCTTGTGGGAAGGTGTTGTCTTGGCAAAATGCGTGGTGGTGATACTTCCCAGGTGTCTTGGCAAAACCAGTGGTTGTGACACTTCGCAGGTGCTTTTCGTAAGGTTAATGTCCTGGCAAAACGCGTGGTGGTGATACTTCGCAGGTGCTTGTGGTGCGGTTTTTGTCTTGGCACAACGCGTGGCGCGTGGCGGTGATGCTTCGCAGGTGCTTGTGGCGAGGCTTTTTTGTTGGCAAGACGCGTTGCGGTGATACTTCGCAGGTGCTTGCGGTAAGGTTTTTGTCTTGGCACAACGCGTTGCGCGTGGCGGTGATTCTTCGCAGCTGCTTGTGGTAAGGGGTTCGTCTTGGCAAAACGCGTGGCGGTGATACTTCGCAGGTGCTCGTGGCAAGGTTTTTGTCTTGGCACAATGCGCGGCGCGTGGCGGCGATACTTCGCAGGTGCTCGTGGTAAGGTTTTTCTGTCTTGGCACAACGCGGGGTGGTGATGCTTCACAGGTGCTTGTGGCAAGGTTTTAAGTTTGGCAAAACGCATGGTAGTGATACTTCGCAGGTGCTTGTGGTAAGTAAGGTTTTGTCCTGGCGAGTGGCGGTGATGCTTCGCAAGTCATTGTGGTAAGGCTTTTGCCTTGGCAAAAGGCGTGGCAGTTATAAATCCAAGGTGCTTGTGGTAAGGTTTTGTCTTGGCGCAACGCGTGGCGGAGATACTTCGCAGGTGCTTGTGCTAAGGTTGTTGCCTTAGCAAAGCGTGTGGCGGTGATACTTCGCAGGTGCTTGTGGTAAGGTTTTTGTCTTGGCACAACGCGTGGCGCGTGGCGGTGATACTTCGCAGGTGCTCGTGGTAAGGTTTTTTTTGTCTTGGCACAACGCGGGGTGGTGATGCGTCGCAGGTGCTTGTGGTAAGGTTTTTGTCTTGGCAAGAGACGTGGCGGTGATTCTTCACAGGTGCTTGTGGTAAGGTGTCTTCGCAAAACGCGTGGCGGTGATCTTTGTAGGTGCTTGTGGTAAGGTTTTTGTCTTGGCCAAATTCGTGGTGGTGATGCTTCACAGGTGCTTGTGGCAAGGTTTTAAGTTTGGCAAAACGCATGGTAGTGATACTTCGCAGGTGCTTGTGGTAAGTAAGGTTTTGTCCTGGCGAGTGGCGGTGATGCTTCGCAAGTCATTGTGGTAAGGCTTTTGCCTTGGCAAAAGGCGTGGCAGTTATAAATCCAAGGTGCTTGTGGTAAGGTTTTGTCTTGGCGCAACGCGTGGCGGAGATACTTCGCAGGTGCTTGTGCTAAGGTTGTTGCCTTAGCAAAGCGTGTGGCGGTGATACTTCGCAGGTGCTTGTGGTAAGGTTTTTGTCTTGGCACAACGCGTGGCGCGTGGCGGTGATACTTCGCAGGTGCTCGTGGTAAGGTTTTTTTTGTCTTGGCACAACGCGGGGTGGTGATGCGTCGCAGGTGCTTGTGGTAAGGTTTTTGTCTTGGCAAGAGACGTGGCGGTGATTCTTCACAGGTGCTTGTGGTAAGGTGTCTTCGCAAAACGCGTGGCGGTGATCTTTGTAGGTGCTTGTGGTAAGGTTTTTGTCTTGGCCAAATTCGTGGTGGTGATACTTCGCAGGTGCTTGTTGTAAGGTTTTTCCCTTGATTGGCAAAACGCGTGGCGGTGATACTTTGCAGGCAGTTGTGGTAAAGTTTCTTGTTTTGGCAAAGCGAGCGGCGGTGATACTTCGCAGGTGCTTGTGGTATGAGGAGCAGAGTTGAGTTTAATAACAACCCCACACCGAGGGTCGGGAACAAACTAACATGAATCAGCCTATCGCGGGTGAAGGGTGAGTGTAATTGTAAACGCTCGCGCGCGACGCCTCGGCAGACCGGCACACGGACAGGAAAGGAGGAAAGAGGGTTTGGGAAAGGCCTCAAAAAAGGGGTTGCAGGGGCGCGGAAGTTTTAAGGGAGGGGGTTTGAGGGGGGTCTCAGGGGGTCTCAGGGGGGTCTCAGCGGAGTCCCAGGAAGGTCCCACAGACGGGTCCCACGCGCTTTTTGGACCGCCCCCTGTCTAGGAGCCGCCGACAGGCGGGACCCCCCACGGCATCAGTTTGCAGCTGCCCCAAGTAATGGGGGGGGGGGTCCCACAGGGCGGGGGTCGCGTCAGAAAAATTTGCACGGAAGGTCAGGGGGAAGGAGGCCCGATCCGGGTCTGCTTGTTTCAGACGCTTCTCGGCAGGAAGCCGAGGCGAATTCTGATTTCAACAACAACATTAAGGATGTTTGTCAAGAATCCGCCAGGCGTCACGGACGTGGAGGCTCGTCTCGGCATTCGAGAAAATCCTGTTCTGTTGACGGTTCTTTGTCCCCCCCCTCTGACGGAAGGGGGGGTAAGGGATGGCAAGTCATTATTCCGAGTTGTTCTGGCCACGTCCGGAACTTGTCTCAAATGACGAAGAGCTTGCTTGACCCTTCGAATGTCAGTGGACCCTCGTTCAGCTGGCAAACTTGTCGGCATACAGTAAGGACAGTGCCACTTGGGGGAGGGGGGATAAAATCCACGCCCCGCGATATCTCGTTGAAACAGCAAACCATTGTAAACCTTTCAAGACCATACCTTCTATGCTTTCGAAAAGCATGTGTCCGAGCATGGCGCCAGAACAGCCGAGAAACATGTCACTGAACAGCCAACAAAGCCCCATACAGACGCCTACCCTCCTGGGAGGTTTTGTTCAGATATCAACCCCCTCTAACGAACACACATCCTCGGTGACAACGGTTTTCTGTGCTTTCTGGGCTCCGAGTCACGCTGATACTTGTAGTTCTGCGGCCATTATGGCTGAACCGTGCGTGGTATGATGCACAGGTATGACACCGAGTCGACACGTTCACCAAGACGCTTTAAGTCATGGAGCTGAGCTATGGCTATGGTCTGGCCGTGGCAGCTGGTGGTGCGATTGCCAGTTCGACGGCCAGTGCATCTGCTGGCATGGCTGCCGGCGTGGGATCTTCCAGCACTGCTGCCTCAAGCCTACTTGCCATGGGCTGAGTTCTGGAGATCGTTTGAAGTGTGGGCGCCCCGTATCCCAAAATTGTGACGCCTGCGTGTACCGAAACAATCGGGGGATAGAAGTTTCTGTTCCCTTAGCTTCCGAAGTCTGCATTTCGTCTTCGAGAATGACATCCTCTGCCTAAGTGTTTCCGGAATCGGCGTTCGTGAGATGTCATGCACGGCTTGAGGTTGGCTCCATGCTGCCAATAGGAGGCGCCGTGGCGATCGGCGGAATCGGTGGGCTGCAGCTTGGCAGAAGATTTATGTGACATGAGTTGCTTGGTTGGGCAGCTGTTCCTCAGGGTATGGATGTTCAGCGAAGAAGCCTGGAAGCAGGCCGCGTGTGGAGCTGAAAGCTTGTTTGCCGTCAGCATTTGGCTGATGTGAGCGAGTGTTCCTCCAGGTGCTGCTTTTCTCTGAAGCGGCTGCAACTTCACTCCGCGCAGCCGCTTCCCAGATCCTAGCTCTTCAGCAGAAGATATAGTTGTTGGTCCAGTATCGCACATACTGTACGGCTTAATTTATGGCCTGATGACTGATGTCTATTATACTGGCTGATACTTTGCCCATGTACTGCATCAGGATGCCACCCAAAATCAGCCCGCGTCTGCGGAGATGAGCTCCAGACTCCAAGCAGAAGATGCTGCACGTGAGTACGTATCTGATCTGATGCGCAAGGCCTTACACTCAGCAGGAATCTGAACACTCACGCCCTCCAATAGCTGATCATGTCCCTCACATGTTGACTTTTCGGGTGGTCATGGCCATCGACCCTCGCAGCCTGATGCTGGCTGAAGTTTGCAGGCTTCTGCAGCAGCAAGTTCGAAAACGGCAGTTCATGGCTGGATCGTCCAGGTCGGCGTGCTGGTGTCGCAATCTTGTTGGAGAGCAGCACCAGAACGTGAGTCCTGAACAGGCATCCAAATCCATTTCAGAGCAAGGCCGATCTATTCAGCTATTGGTCGCAACATTTGCTTGTTGTGTTAGCGGGAAGGCTTTCAGGAGAAGCTCGAAATCACATATCCGAGCTTGCTCACGGCTTTCCCGCATCGCCCGTCGTTTCCTTATCATACTTGATCACTTTGGCTTGCGCTGCCTGTAAGTTTTGCCAGAACGAAGACAGATTGTGGCCAAGGTCAGTGGGTACGTGGTTGAGGAAGTTGCCCACCACTGCAAGTAAAACGACACCGTCAAGCTTAGCGAAAGAGCTCCAACAAGAGGCCACAAGTTCCGTGTGTGAAAGGGTATTCCACTGGTGTTCCAGTTTCAGTGCCAAGGGTGCTGCAAATGCCTTGCACAGTGCATCCCTCTGCAGGGCAATCAGACATTGGCCATTTCTCTCTCGGAGCTTGAGCATGAGGTGCCTCGGAGTTAAGAAAGTGTTTTGGGATGTTTGGATGAAAGCAAGACTAGCGAGTTTCTTGTAACTCTATGCGCTTATTCTGAAGTCTTAGTCAAGATGGCTTGAGCCAGGAGTCAGCTCTGGAAGGCTTTGAACGATTGCATTTTTTGGGGCGGGGTGCGGACGGCGAAGTCCATGCTTGCCGGGACCTGCGATCAACGGAGGCCATTCGGGTGAGGAACAGATGCAAGATTGCGCGTGCGTATGCAGGTTGGCAGGTACAGGGCCTGTTGGCTTGTGCAGGTGGTGGCTATCAAGAGCTTGCGTGGCGATTCGGCTGAGCAGGCACGGGCCGAGATGTCACAAGACGCATGCCAAACACGCGTTGAGCCTGAGGGAGTGTGCTCAAATCACTTCGTCCTATCTTCCATATCCGAGGCCAGGCGATGCCTCCGAGAGGTCGAGATGCTGCGCATGCTCACGCATCCCGGGATCGTACGCCTGCTGCAGGCCATGTCGTGAGCTACAGCGTGTGCACAGGGCTGATCTCCTACTTTTTTCCGTTTTGCCTGTCAGTGTTTGTTGATGTGTTGTTTCTTGGAGGTGCTTTCTCCTGGCCTTCCTAGCTTGACAGATTCACCGTTCGAGGCAGGAGTGAGTGAGGTTGTGAGTGAGAACGCGCGTGCGTGCCTGGATGGGTGGGTGTGTGGGACATCCTAGCCATGGGTGATCATGGGTGAATGAAGTCACGTGCGCAACCAGTTACATGTGTTTGACAAGTCTGACGCAACAAAGGTCAGAGCCTTATCCACTTTTCAAAGCAGTTCTGCAACTGCGAAGCAGGGGGCCAGGGCGGCTAGCATGCTGGTGAGCACAAGCACTGGCCAAGGAAGACCTTGTGCCTCGCCACGTGCTATCCTGTGAAAACGTACAAGCATCAAAGTCGTTTAACTATGTGATGTTTATAGGCAGCTGTGCACCATCCCTCTTTGTAACGTATCGAGAGCAAATCCTCATGAAGGGACATGCTGGATTGAGACCCACACACAGCCTGGCTGAGTATTCAGACCTTGATCCAGAACAGTTGTATGACTCTGGATGTGGATTGGATTTCTTGTGTGTGTGTGTGTGAGTGTGTGTGTGTGTGTGTGTGTGTGTGTGTGTGTGTTTGCGCGTGTGCGTGCGTGTGCGTGCGTGCGTGTTTGTTCGTGCGTTCTTGTTCGTGTTCGTGTTGGTGTTCGTGTTGTGTGCCTGGGTGGGTGGGTGGGTGGTTGGGTGGGTGGGTGTGTGCGCGCGTGCGCCGTGCACGTGCGCGTGCGCGTGGTCGTGTGTGCTGTGTGTGTGTGTGTGTGTGTGTGTGCTCGTGCTTTTGTGTTGTGTGTCATGTCTTAATGCGTATTCAATGTCAATTGTAGAGCAAGTGGTGCTGCCGAGCGAGTGAGAATCAGAATAGTTGAATAATTAGTGTGGTTGTTGAGGTGCCAGATTCGTCGCTACATACCTTGGTATCCAATCCAATCCATTGCTGACGCGCAGGTGCATCTCGTGCTCGAGCTTATGTACACAGATCTGCGCCGGGTCATCCATCGCAGCATAACCCCGCTCACCCATGCTCAAAACGTCGAGTTGTTCTTCCAACTGATCGATGCCGTCTTGCAGCTCAGACTTTGATGGACAGATCCTGATCCTGACAGATCCAGGCAAGCTGAAGGTATGATGTTTTGACTTGCCATCAGCGCTGCGAACCAAGTTATCTGCACTGCCACGCTGTCATCCACCGCGACATAAAGCCATCCAACGTTTTAGCTGCTCGGAACAGTTACCTTTACCTTGACTTGGGCTTCTCTTTTCAGACGCCCGACGGTGGTAACGCAGGTTTCGCAAACTGGCGACATCAAGGTTTGCGACTTTACGATGGCGCGAGGCCATAGCGTGTTGTCTGCATGTTAAAGCAGATCTCTCAGAGCAACGCATAAAACAAGGAGGCCATGTGCCAAAAAGCATGAATGTTCTATGAAACGATCGTATGCCGCTACGCGCTTTTAAAGCCGCATTCCTAAACAGACATCTTGGTTGGGCGTTGAGAATCGGAGGTATCGATGAGTCAGCGCGTCAGTCAGATCTTTCACTCACTGTGGCTGTCGGATCCCCTTACTGGCGAGCCCCAGAGGTGCCTGCCGTTCGCAATCTTTCGGTTTCGGTGCAGATGTCAAGACAACCGGGCACCCTGAGAGTGGGAATGTTAGTCGAGTCGGTATGAGTCGGCTGCGTTTGCATCATTCACATACAGGGTTAAGGGTTTAGGGCTTTACTGGCTTAGGGTCAAGGATTCATGAATGGTCAAAAATAAGCGGGTGCAGGTATCGGGCCCATTTCCAACTCAACATGTCAGGCTTCCGCTTGTTCGAGTCAATACTTGTTCCTTGCACAGGCCCCTGGCTGTTCAAGCTCTGCCCATGACACATGTTACCAACCGTCATCCCTAATGGATGTTGCGAAGGCGTACACTGTGAAGGCAGGTGCAGTAGCGTCCCTGAGCACGGCCCTTCGGATGAGCCCCAGTGTCGCCAGGTCTTGTTGACACAAGGCAAGTATGGACCTGCAGCTGACATGTGGAGCTGTGGCCGCGGCCTAAGATGTGTTTTGATTGAGCAAGACTTAGCCTAGCAATCTGCGGCAGCTAGCTTTGAGCAGGAGTTGTGTTTGCGGAGATGTTGGGGCGGAAGATCCTTTTCCAGTCTCAAGATGAGTTTCGCGGACAGCTGCATGTGATGATTCGCACGTTGGGCTTTCCTCAGGACGTCGCCAAAGGTTGTTTCAGAAGTTGGGAGCAATTGGTAACTGTGATGGTTTATCTACCACGAGCCTTCGTTGAACTTTGGTATTGGCGGCCACCACCCCTCAGGAGTCCGAGCTTCGCTTCTTGGATCCCCGGGTTGCCAACTGGTTTAGACAAAACTTTGCGCAGCATGAGCGGGCGCGGTTGAACCTTGCAGTGAAACATTGTTCGTGTTTTTTGTGATATTTGAACAATATACGTGCTTAAGTCTCTCGTCGCTGACTCAGTTTTACCAAGATATCCAAGGAGCTGGACCTTTCACATCACAGCGTGCCCAGCCTCGGCAGACATGCTCAATGGCCTCGTGAGGTTTTGCCCGCATGAACGGATCACAGCCCAAGTTGCACAAAGACACAGTTTATTCCACAAGCACTGTTGAGGAGGAAGGCCCTTACATAACTGCAGCTCGTCCCTGGGTGACGGACGAAATCAGGGCACTGGCCTAATTCAACAAACAACAAGAAGCTGGAAGACAAGCTCGATGACGAGAAGGTTTGATGTTTCCGCGCTGGTCAGCGCAATGGCCATGGTGCACCAATGGCGGCGCGTAGGCAAGAGCACTTCCTGGACATGTGCGACGTAGAAATGGAAAAGGCGACCCATACGCTCATTGGATGATTGTTTGTTACTTGCACATACATGATGACTTCAAAAGAGAGCAAAGTGAAACATTCACCGACATTGCACGTATGCGCACACGCGTACATGTGATTCCCCAAACAGGTACGGTTTGGGCTGGGGTTCTCTCCTCAGAAAGAAGGTGCGCCGCGGTGGCCGTGCGCGGTTGGGACAGCTTTGGACACTACCGAATGCACAGCCGCGTGGCATCTCGACGTCACGCGCGGTTTGAATGCATGGTTTGGACCATTTTTGAAGATGAATGCACAGCCGTTTGGCAACCCGACGTCAAGCAGCACGGTTTGGACAGCTTTGGAAAATGAATGCGCAGCTGCGTGGCATCCCGACGTCACGCTGCACGGTTTGGACAGCTTTGGAAAATGAATACAGCCGCGTGACATCCCGACATCACGCTGCACAGTTTGGACAGCTTTTGAAAATGAATGCGCAGCCGCGTGGCATCCCGTCGTCACGCTGCATGACGGTTTGGACAGCTTTTGTTGAAAATGAATGCACAGCCGCGTGGCATCCCGACGTGCCGCTGCTTGGCAACCATGAGGTTGACGGCTGGCTTCAGTAAAGCAATCTGATATACATAAGAGTTCTCTGAACATGTTTGCATAGCCTCGGCACGTGCACAGGGCCGACGCTTGTGCGTCCGTAACATTTCAAGATCAAAGGGGCAGGAGCATAGCATGGACGCCTATCACTTTGCGGGCGCTGCTGGGGGACTGCTGCTTGGAATCTGGCTTAAGACTGGGAACCGTGAGCCCGACGTTCGGCCTTGCATCTGTCATTGTGCTGTGAGTTCACCTGAACGATCGACTGGGGAGGGGGCCTGGCTTTGGCTAGTCTGCTTTGGGCTGGTCGGGCTGCTTGTCACCAACTTGGCCTTGGCATTCAGGGTTTCATTTCGGAAGGACGAGGCTGGACTTCAGGAGTTCACGTTCTCCGTGAAAGGGAAGTCTGGAAAAGGCGTCTACGGCGTCCCGAAGGGCCTACAGATCACCGAGCAGTGAGGCTAGCGCGCGATGCAGACCGGCGAGATTGTCTATCTTCGGTATCATGGAGACCCCGGCGTGATCCACACGCGCTTATTGGTGGGGCAAGTGCAGGGGGATGAATGGGTGATCGTGACGCCCGACCATGATGTGTATGTGGAAGAGCTCGCCCGGCACAACCCTGACATTCAGTACATGTGGCACTCACCCGATGGCAGGCTCGCCCGAGGGGTGCCCCGCAACCAGGTCTATGGATTTGCGCCCATGACTGCGGCCCAGTATGCTGCCGTGATGCGTGCTGGGAGGGCAGAGTTTGATGCCGAGATCGCAAGGCGCGGACTTGGAGCAGTGGCTGCGGTCGGAGCTGCGCCGATGGGTGGTGGAGGTGGCGCTGTGGAGGCCGCTCCAGTCGCTGCGGCGGCGGCAGTGGCTCAGCCTGTGGCCGCCGTTCCGGCCCAGCCGGGCAACGCTGCCATTGGAAACGCAGGGCCAGGTGCTAGAGATCTCACAGGGCGAGGCTTGGTTTGGGTTGCGGCCGAAGGGACCTCAACAACAGTGTTTGGTGAGGTCGTGGCCGGTGTAGTGGCGCCAGCGGTGGAAGGTGCCAAGACAGTCCATCGGATGGCTGACGGCAGTGACCTCTTCTGTCTATGCATTAGTGAGACTAGCCGCCAGACGTTCAATGGGCGACCGGCTGCTTGCGATGGGCGCATCCTGGCCCGAGGCTTCAACACTGTGGGGCAGCCTGAGAGGCCTCTGTCAGAGGTGGTGGCTGCCTCGAGAGAAGTCGAGATGGGTTGGAAGATAGCCGGCCCGCGGACAGCCTTATGGTGCTTGAACTATCTGATGACGGAGGGCCTTGGCTTCGAGGCCCACCATGAACGGTTCAGGCAGCTTTGCCGCATCGACGCAGGCGGCTGGGGTGTCCAGGAGCACTTTCAGACCAGTATGTTCCTTCGGCAGCTGATTCAGGTCGACCAAGTGGATGCTTGCAACTGCTACGGCGTGGAGCTCATGTTCAGACGGGTACAGACAATCGAGTACGCTCATTCAGAAAGGGCCCGGGAGATCGAGTCGAAGACGGTCGGTGGCAAGCTCAGTTTGGAGGAGCAGTACACCTTCGGCTCCTTGGTCCGTCAAGCCGGGACCTTGATGATCGCACCATCCTTGCTGGAGCACGTCAAGCAGGAGGTTGAGCGCGACGCGCAGCTCTCAAAGAATCTCAGAAAAGCCCGCGAGGAGCGGGACTTGGCGAAGAAGAAGGGTGGTGGAAACCCCTGAGCTGGGCTTCGCCTGCGGCTGTTGGGAGTGCGTCGCAGGCGGCTTTAAGAACTCCCTTTTTGTCTGGCGACGCACGTCGCGTCCCCAGAGACCTTTTTCCTTTGCCGGTGCCCGGAGTCTCATGTGATGGCGGCTTTGGCGGGTCAAGGCGTGTCAAGCGCCGCTTGGAACGGAGATGGCACCAGGACACCATGGTTGCTGAGTGCGTTCGCGGGCTCAATGCTCTGTATAGTGGAGACAAGTTTGGCAAGGCGAACTCGCAGTGCCAGACACCTTCGCGGGCACAGCTGGCTGCCTTGGAACACATTCGAAATTCAGTGCACCTTTTGGGGGCTCCCGAACAGGAGCTCAGTGGTCGAGAGGCGCTTTGGCAGCTTCAGGCCTTCGACGGGTACGGGGAGGACCAAGCCCCGCCACTCGTCGCCTCGTACAGCCCAGCCTTTTGAGTTTGCCCACCGGGGAGGTGCCGCCTGTGCCTCTTCACACGCTACTCGGAGGCGATGGGATGAAAATTGTTGAGGACTTCATCTCAACTCGGCTTTTGCAGAAGAATGAGGCCCTGCGCAATTTGCGGAGGACTGGTGTGGTGAAGTGTTATTCGGACCCGCGACTTTTGGAGGCCCGTGTGTACAAGAGCTTTGTGCGGCGCCTTTGGGACGGTGGCCTCGTCGAGTTCACGTCCGAGGAGCCCACCGAGAAGGTTGAAGTCTTCTTTGTGCGGAAGAAGGACGGACGGCTTCGGATGGTGGTTGATTGCAGGAGGTCGAACGAATGGTTTGCCCCCCCGGACAAAGTCAATTTGGCGACGGCTGAGGTCCTTAGCCGCATTGATTTGGGTGGCACCGACTGTGACCTCTACATCTCCACTGCCGATTTGAAGGACGCCTTTTACCACTTTGAGCTCCCCCTGCAGCTACGACCGTACTTCGGTATGCGGCCCTTGTCAGCTGGCGACCTCGGCATCACCTCGCTGGGCGGTAAAGCTATTAGAGCATCTTCTCTAGTTTTCCCGCGCCTGAAGGTGCTGCCGATGGGCTGGACACACGCCTTATGGTGGTGCCAAAACATCCACCAGCGGATCGTGTCAGGTGTTGGAGCCACAGCTGACAAGTGCCTCGAGGACCGTGCTTCGGTACCGTCCCCGGAGTGCATGCATTTAGAGTACGTCGACAATTTCGTGTGCATTGGCACTGCCAAAGAAGAAGTCGAGGCACTTGCGGCTGCAGGGGTACAGGCTTTGAGGGACAAGGGCTTGGTGGTACACGAGGTTGCGAGCGGCGAGGGGAACATCAAGGTTTTGGGTTGGTGTTTTCAAGGCAAGAAGCTCCGGCCTTTGTCCCACCGGGTGTGGCGCCTCATAGCCGCTATTCGTTTTTTGCTGGACCGTGGCACATGCAGTGGCAAACAGCTCGAAAAGGTGCTCGGGCATGCAACTTTCATTGCCCTAGGCCGCCGTGAAGCCTTAGCTGTATTTGGTGAGTCGTACTCTTTTGTTCGTACTCACTATGAGCAGAACCACCGTATATGGCCTAGCGTGAGGAGAGAGCTTATGATCTGGACCTCAATCGCGCCCTTGCTTTGGAGAGATTTGGGGATCCCTTGGGCCTCAGAGGTCGCTGCGGTCGATGCCTCCACGTGGGGCTTGGGCGCCGTTGTGGCCGACTTTGACGAAGCAGAGGTTCGCCAACTAGGGAAGTACTCGGAGCGATGGAGGTTTGAGATCCCGGAGTTTCGCTGTCCTCGTGCAAGTGCGTTCGGTACTGCCTTTGCTGATGATTCTGACGAGGCTCGCAGCCTTCAGTGGGCCCACTCCGGGGACAACAATGCCAAGGCGCGGCCCGTGCCCCTTTCGGTCGTAGAGGGCAAGCTGCTTTCTGATAGGTTTGTGCCGGTCGCATCCAGCCAAGTCGATCGTAAGTGGCGTGTGGTGGGACGGCACAAATGGAAGCGACAGGAGGGCATGCCAGTGTTAGAAGGAAGGGCCTCGTTGTTTGCTGTGAAGCGCTTGCTGCGCAAAGAGACTTCCTTTCACATGCGGCATCTCATCCTGTCGGATTCTACCGCTGCCATCTGCGCTCTAGACCGTGGCAGGGGGCGCTCTTTCGGAATGCGCCGTGTGACTCAACAGCTGGCGAGCCTGTGCCTGTGCTCGGGCATCAGTGTCCAGTTCAGGTTCATCCCCTCAGAGTGGAATCCTGCCGACGCGGTCTCCAGAGGCTCCCTCTTCCCGTCGAGCGCTGTACATGGTGGTGCACAGGTTCATCCAGCTCCCCAAAGCTGCAGCCAAGACCGCACTGCGGCCGCCGGCCAGCCGTGTGAACCGGCCCGCGGGCCAAAGCCTGCAGCAGGTCAAGAAGACTCGCGCGAAGGCCAGGGTCAAAATCAGGCAGCAATTCGGGACGTTGGCGGAGGCATCAGTGAGCCGTGGATGCAGAGAGCGGTACAGCAAGCTGTGGAGGAGGATGTGCACAGCGGCGGGGTTAACCATGACCGAGAAGTACACCGCGAGCGACCTCGACCTCCCGGCGAGCCAAGTTTTGGAGGACTTGTTCGACGAGGGGGAGGATTTGAGCCAGGGCCAGTACCTCATTGCGGCGATCCAGTTCTACCAGCCCCATCTCCGTGGTGGCCGAGGCGGGTTGGACCTGGCAAAGCAAACTCTCGCAGGGTGGCGACGACTGGACCCGCCAAAGTCGAGGCTGCCGTTACCCTGGGAAGTCGTGTGCTTGATGGCTATGGAAGCCATCACTCGCAACATGATCGAGGTGGCCCTTTATATATTACTCGCCTTTGTGACCTACCTGAGACCGGGCGAGGTAGCCAAACTGCTGGTGGGTGGCTTGGTGCCCCCCGTTGGGGTGGTCAAAGCATGGTCGCTGATCCTTCACCCGCTGGAGCTCGAAACGCCTTCGAAGACGGGGGAGTTCGACGAGACAGTGTTGTTCGACCTTCCTCAGATTGTGTGGATCGCCGAGCAGACCTTCCGTCTGCTCAAGGCCGGCCACCGATGCGCCTCGGAGCCGCTGTTCTCGGTGAGCCTAGAGACAGTGAGAAGCTTCATGCGCGATGTCGGAAGCCGGTTCGGCATGGAAGTTGCAGTGGGCGATCCGCATCCTTATCGTCTTCGTCATGGCGGTCCGAGCCGGGATGTTCTGCTTGGCTTTCGAACCTTGCAGGAAATCCAAAAACGGGGGAGGTGGCGCAGTTTCAGCAGTGTGCGAAGGTACGAGAAAGGTGGTCGCGTCACACAGCAGATGCAAGCCCTCTCCAAGGCGACGCGGCAAAAGGCGCTGGAGGCAAGCCAAAACATCCAGTCCGTGGTGTGTGGCCTGCCCTGAATGTCCCCCTTGGGCCGGCAG